GAGGAGGAAAGAAAATGAAATGTAAACAAAGTTTGCCAACTGTCTGGGAGTTAAAGGTTACAGCTTGCAGCTGACAAATCAAGACAGTAGAAGCTTAAGCTCATGTAAGAGTACAAAGATTAAGAAATTTTGGTAATTTAAATTCCATTGTAGGAGCGAGAAGGAGAGAAAGAGGGAGTAATGAAATAAGTTTTGCATTGCTTATAGTAAACCAATAGAAAAGGAACTAAGAGTATTAGTATAAACATTTTCTCAACTTCAACACTATTGACATTTTGGCCAGATAATTCTTTGCTGTGGGGAAGTTATCCTGTGCTTGGAAGGATATTTAGAAACATCTCTGGCCTCCACTCATCATACCAGTACCAGTCGCAAATATTTCCAGGCATTACCAAATGTTCCCTGGGAGGCACATTATCCCCAGCTGAGAACCACTGGTATAAAGGTATCAGTATAAATGCAATCAATAGAACCAAAAATCAAACCTTGCTAAATAACAAAAAAGATACGTCCTTCAAAAAGAGCAAAGAAAAATCACATAGCAAGATTTTGTATTGGTATATACATAGTGTATATAATTAAATAACAAGACAATATAGAATAGAGTATATCATTATATCATTAAGTATATATGGTTTCAATTATATCATTAAGTATAAATGAGTTTAAACCAAGCATTAAAATATGAAGATTTTTAGAGCAGCTAAAAAAGCAGTATCTAAATCTATGCTTTATGCAAGCAACACACACAAAACAAAATGACCTCAGGAGGTAAAGAATGAAAGTATGGGCAAAGATAGTTCAGGCAATTATAAATGAAAAGAAAGCAGAGATCTCCTTCTTAGTCACAGGCAAAGCAAAATTCATACCAAGAAGCACAATGAGGCAACGAATGACATTTTCCTTCTTTTTTTTCACGGATTTTTGTCATCTCTACACCCAACGTGGGGCTCAAACTCATGACCCCAAGATCAAGAGTCACATGTTCTTCCTCCTGAGCCAGCCAGGCACCCCAAAGAATGACATTTTCTAATGTCAACAGTTACAAAGATAAGAAGATAAGACATTAATACCTGTGACATAACACAGAGCAACTTACGAAAGCATAAACTGCATGAAACTGAAACCCACTAGTGAGAGGAAACTAGCACTCTGGGTAACCCTAGATAGTTCAAGTGAACAAAGTAATTAGGATACAGAACACCTGAACGATGCAATCACTAAGGTAGATAATACACACTCAACCGTTATATCCTGATAGAAAAATACATCCTAATATAATAAGACAAAAAGAAACTCCTGGTAAAGTTTTTGAAAAAAAATTTTTAAATACATTCGACATTAAATGACCACAGTGCGATGAAATGAGAAAATAAAAGAGCTAAAGCAGTGCTCAAAGGAGTATTTGCAGCATTAGATGCCCACATGAATAAAGATACAATGAATCCGGGGCGCCTGGGTGGCTCAGTCGTTAAGCGTCTGCCTTCAGCTCAGGTCATGGTCCCAGGGTCCTGGGATAGAGCCCCGCATCGGGCTCCCTGCTTGGCGGGAAGCCTGCTTCTCCCTCTCCCACTCCCCCTGCTTGTGTTCCCTCTCTCGCTGTGTCTCTCTCTGTCAAATAAATAAATAAAATCTTTAAAAAAAAAAAAAAAGATACAATGAATTAATATCCAACTTCTTCATGAAGACACAGCAAAACCCATACCTTCATTTAAATATTTTTTCTTGGCCAAATATATTCAAAATCAATACAACTTTGTTTTCCCCCAAGACTTGAGCTATTTATGAAAGTTTTAACAATAAAGGCAAAAAATTATATTCTAATTTCAATGTATGAAGTATTTAAATACATCTTACTTTTCTTGCCAAAAATAAATAAATAAATAAATAGAAGCCTAAATCTAACCTAATCATGTCTCTGTCAATTTCCAACAAGAAACAGGACAGATGGGCAGGTTAAACCAAACTGCAAGGATGAAACTATAAAATCCCAGACTGTGAGACACTTTACAGGACAAACAATCCAGTTTCTTTGACAAATGAAAGGGAATAAAAAGATGGGGCAGCGGGGCACCTGGGTGCCTCAGTTGGTTAAGCGTCTACCTTCAGCTCAGGTCATGATCCCAGGGCCCTGGGATCGAGCCCCACATTGGGCTCCCTGTGCTTCTCCCTCTCCCTCTGCCTGCCACTCCCCCTGCTCGTACTCTCTCAATCTATCGAATAAATAAATAAAATCTTAAAAAAAAAAAAAAAAGATGGGGCAGGAATCAGAAGAGACTTAAATATCAATCAATCACAATGTATGAATTTCAATTGGATCCAGATTCAATTAAAACTATAAAATAACAATAACAAATATTTGATAATATTTACATTTTTAGATGTAGTAATGGTATTGTTTACAATAAAAAGAAAAAGAATTCTTTTTTTTTAAAGATTTTATTTATTTATTTGAGAAAGAGAGAATGAGAGACAGCACAAGAGGGAAGAGGGTCAGAGGGAGAAGCAGACCCCCCACTGAGCAGGGAGCCTGATATGGGACTCGATCCCAGGACTCCAGGATCATGACCTGAGCTGAAGGCAGTTGCTTAACCAGCTGAGCCACCCAAGCGCCCCAAGAAAAAGAATTCTTATCTTTAAAGATGCATGGTAAAATTTCTATGGAAGAAATAACATCATGTATGGAATCTGCCTCAGAACAATGTGGAAGGAGGAAGAGAAACTATCAGCAGAAAGAGCTAGGGGTCCCCGGAAAAAGAAAGAAAAGACAAGCTTTCCTGACATGAGAAAAGTCATCTTGGGCCCCCAGCCATCTTACCATCTCTGCCTGACTGGCACTACTTGCCCAAAGCACATTTCTTGCAGAACTTCCTGAGATATGTTGAAACTGCAGAACAGTAGATCCCAGTAGATAACAATTTTAAGGGAACCAAAAAATGTAAGCACAAACAGCCACTGTCAAGCCAGGAGATAACCTAATCATTATCAGGGACAACAAATCAGTGGTAAATCTTCCAGTGCTGGTTCAAAAATAAAGACTGACCTGACACACATTCTTGAGCTATCTTTGCAGGATCTGAACCGTTTTGAGCACTCAGATACCAGGAACTGATGATGCTGACCCTCATGACTTGGACTCTGTCACTTTAAGATGATTTCTGCCCCGGGGCACCTGGGTGGCTCAGTCGTTAAGCGTCTGCCTTCAGCTCGTGATCCCGGGGTCCTAGGATCGAGCCCCACATCGGGCTCCCTGCTAAGCAGGGAGCCTGCTTCTCCCTCTCCCATTCCCCCTGCTTGTGTTCCCTCTCTCGCTGTCTCTCTCTCTGTCAAATAAATAAACAAAATTTAAAAAAAAAAAAGATGATTTCTGCCCCTGTTCCACGCTGAATGCCCCACTGCGCAAGCCCCTTCGCCTAAAATTTCCCCAGTTCATTGTTCGAGGAGACCCTGCTTTGGGAAACATTCCCGTTGTTCTCCTTTGCTTATTGCATGTAAAACCCTTCCTTTTCTTATTCTTTGGCTTCGTTGTGTCTTTTGGCTCCACATGCACCAAGAGGCGAACCCAGTTTCAGGTAACAGAATGGACAAGTATGTGGATAGAGAACTGGCCATGGGGTCATAGTTATCAAGGCTGAGTGACAGGAACATGGATAGTCATGATATTATTCTGCCTACTTCGTGTATATTCAAGATGCTTCATTTAAAAGAAAAAGGCACATGTAGATCAAGTAGTCTTCACACTGAATAAAGAACACATTCCACATATATGTGTATTCTATTTTTCAAATGTTTGTATATGTTATCACAATAGACAAACTTCAAATTCACTTTAAAAAATACTGCTAGGTGAGGGGTAGAAGAAGGGGGAATTGGGGGAAGGTGGTCAAAAGGCACAAAATTCCAGTTATAAGATAAATAAGTACTAGGGATGTAATGTACACCACAATGACTATAATTAACACTGTGTGTTAGTAAAGTTGTTAAGTAAGTAGATCCTAAGAGCTCTCATCATAAGGAGAAATTATTTTTCCTTCTGACTGTATCTATAGGAGATGGTGGATGTTAACTAATCATGGTAATTATCTCACATATATGTAAATCAAATCATCATGCCATATACCTTAAACTTATACTGTGATGGATATCAGTTATTTCTCAATAAAACTGGAAAAAATTTAAAAAGAAAAAAAAAATTACTGGAACTCAAGAAGGCCAAGGCCCAGAGGACTGACTGGCAGAGTTGGACTAAAGAGCAGGGTCAAAGCCAGCCTGCTAAGGAAACATGACAAGAGCCATGGTCAGTAATCAGCCGTGCTATTTACATAAGTGTTCATTCATGGAAGAACTCCCAACCACAGGAAGTCTGCCTCTTGTAATTTCTAAAATTTAAATACTACTCTGTCCCTTAATTGAAACAAAGCCATGTGTCATTACTCCAAACATTAACACAGTTTTTGAAAAGTACCAATATATTTCATTGTCATAGAAAGATCCAAAGTTCAGCTGAACCTTGAACAATGTGCCAACCTCCCCAACCATGTGCATCTGAAAATCCAAATATAAGCTTGGACTCCCCAAAAACTTAACTACTAATAATAGCCTGTTGACCAGAAGACCAATAACATAAACAGTAGATTAACACATATTTTGTATGTTCTATGTATTATATACTGTATTCTTATAATAAAGGAAGCTAAAGAAAAGAAAATGTTATTAAGAAAATCACAAGGAAGAGAAAATACATTTAAAGTATCATAAAAATTCCACACATGAGTAGACTGGCTCAGTTCATACCTGTGCTATTCAAGGGTCACCTGCACATACATTTCAAAGAGAAAGGAATGAAACATCAGTTACATGTGCTTCAGTTAAGTAAATACAAGAAAGCTCCCTCTGAAAATGTAATCAAGTCGGAAGGAAAAGCAAAAACAAAGGTACAGTCAAATTTCGAAAGCTAGCAATCAGAAACTGTTAAGCTTTCAAAGCAAAACTTTCCTTACCCTATAACATCAATCACCTCCAAGAGCTCAGAGTCGAGCAACATAGAAGCAGAAATGGGCTCCCAGAGATTGTCACTCGCTATGATTTTCACTCGATCGAGACCCTGATAGTTCAGCATTCTTCTTAACACCTTTTGGAGAGATAAACAGAATGCAGGAAAGTTTACAAATAAGTTTTCAGCTGTTGAATTACAACCACAATAGCTGAAGTATCTTTCAAAATCAGCATCCTGGAAAATAGTATTAATATTATTTCTCAATAGAAATGTGCCTCCTATGGAAAACATAAAGCATTATCATTGAGATAACCTACTTCATGGGAATGTAAAAAGAAAAAAAAAAACCAAGAGGTAAAAATGCTTTAGAGGGATTCTCCCTCTGACCTTAATGGAATCAACAACAGACTCACAATAGTAAAAAAAAAATTAAATAAACCACCACCATAGCTGCAGATCATTAGTTTAAAAGAAAAAGGAAACCAGAGTCTAATGTTTCCAATGCTTCCTTCAAATGAAATGAGCACAACTAGAGAGGCACATGAATAATCACAAGGAAAAACATAAGCTGTGAAACGTCAAATCTGGGTGGATAAAAATGTTCCCCACCTTCATTATTGGGACCCTGTCATGAAGCCGCCCCCAACTGCAGGGTCACACAGAACACATGCACGAACCTGGCTTCCACTCTAGGCTCTTGCTGCGCTCATCAGCCCTGTGCTCACAGAAGCCACAACTTTCCACAAACAACCCTGTGCTTCCATCTTATACTAGTTCCACTGCTCCACCTCCCACAGCCCCACAATGCCCCCTCCACCACGTTCTCACCACTTCACTGATAATGCCTGCAGCCTGGACGTGACCCTGACTTACACGGACCTGGCTGCAAGCCACCCCATCAAACCTCACAGCTACAGATTAAAGTATATGTTGTATATGCCGGTCCCCTAGCGATCACAGAGGCCTACGCAAGGCTCAGAGTCCCCACTTGTCTACTCTGTCTTTCACCCTTGTTCTTCCCCCAAATCCCTTTACTCTCAATCATCATTTCTTGGCGGTGTCCTGCCCCTGCCCTAGCAACCAGGGGAGTTCCTATCCACCCCACCTTGAAGATTCCAACCACACGTCACCTTCTCTAATAGCATTCCCTAATCCACCCAGGCAGAAGTGTCATGTCCACTCTATACCTTCTGACAACCCTGCATGGGCATTACTCTGTTAGAGAAATTATGACTGATATTTTCATTGTCCATCCGGGATTCTATAGCTCTCAAATATGAACTCCTTTTGGGCAGCAACAGTATTTTGTGTCCTTGTCTTCTAAGCATGCATGGAATGCCTGACACCCCCCCGGTGTTGAGTCAATGCTTGCTGATGGGATAAATGAATAAATAAATGAAAGAAATTTAGTGGGTATTACCTGCTTAAAAACATAAGACACTTAAAGAAATTTTTTTAAAAACCGAAACACAAAATCTAACATAAAACTATGTTTTTTGGAGGAAACACAAGACAAATAGAACTGGAAAGTAAACCATAGACTTCCTCCACCTGAAAAGTTAATCTGCCATGAGTTTCCCAGTGACAGAGGAGTTGTTATTCTCAGTTTTTCCTTTCCTGAAAAACAGCAATAATAGTAATTACCTAATAAGGGAGTAAGTAAGAATGAAATGGAGATAAGTAACTAGGAAAAGCAACCCCAAAAAACACACTTGGCAAATGTTAGTTGCTACCATTTGCTAATGCTAAGCGAAATAAGTCAATCAGAGAAAGACATGTATCATATGATCTCACTGATATGAGGAATTCTTAATCTCAGGAAACAAACTGAGGGTTGCTGGAGTGGTGGGGGGTGGAAGGGATGGGGTGGCTGGGTGATAGACACTGGGGAGGGTATGTGAATTGTGTAAGACTGTTGAATCACAGTGTACCTCTGAAACAAATAATACATTATATGTTAAAAAAAGAAGAAGAAGATAGTAGGAAGGGAAAAATGAAGGGGGGGAAATTGGAGGGGGAGACGAACCATGAGAGACTATGGACTCTGAGAAACAAACTGAGGGTTCTAGAGGGGAGGGGAGTGGGGGGATGGGTTAGCCTGGTGATGGGTATTAAGGAGGGCACGTTCTGCATGGAGCACTGGGTGTTATACGCAAACAATGAATCAGGGAACACTACATCAAAAACTAATGATGTAATATTGTATGGTGATTAACATAACATAATAAAATTAAATTTAAAAAAAAAAGAAACATATAGAACATTCCAATGTAATAGGCATTCCAAAGAAAATAACAGTGAGACTATATATGAGAAATTTTGATTTAAGATGTGGAACTGTATAAAATTTCTGGCCAGAAGAGACTCCATTTCCAAGCTCCATTTTCTTTTCCAACAGATGAACTCTTGACCTGGGCCAGAAGTGGCAAGAGTCTTACAGGCAATTGTTCATTAACATTTCAACAGAACAACTGGCATTCAGACCATATGAGGATAGTAAAGGTAATTAATACATTCCAGAGACAATTTTGTTTGTGATAGCACCAATAAAATAATCAATGAGAGAGTTATCAGAAATGGCTCAACTAATTTGGTCAGCCCCAAATTAGCAGTGTTTTCTTTTCTCTTCTTTATCTACTTCATGGACTTACCTCTTCCTTCTTTGCCATAAAAACTCCTTGCCCTCCCCACCGGAGCAGGACACTTTTTTGGTTACTCCAGAATCTGTGCTCCCTGAGTTGCAATTATGACACCCCAAATAAAGATCTTTGTTCTCTTTTAGGTTTGCCTCCTTTTCTCATGTGACAATGAAGAAAAAAAAAAGCTACATTTCTTTAAGTCCTAAAAGCCTAACATGATGCAGTTGTTTTTATAATGATTACCATAATTCCACAAATAATGAATTTCAAAATAGGAAAATTCGACACAAGTCTTCAGACAAAGGAAATTTGTGGTTCACAAGGAATTACCTATGCTTTAATCAGGAATTTAAATATGATTAAGCTTTTGCTTGAATTTTATGTCACAACTAGCAAACAAATATCTGTACTGTAAAAAACAGTGTTCTACTACTAATTTCCATGGAACCATAAGGGAATCATTTACTAATAACTTTAAGATAAAAAGATTTTCAAGTCATACAGACCTTGATATAATTGATGTCAAATGACCTCTCATTCCAAATCTGCAAAACAGAAAGTCAAACAGTCTGAATTGAAAGTTAAAGGTCAGAAAGTAGACATTCCCATTAAGATGCCACTGTTCTCGTCATCTTTCATATCATCTAAAAAGCAATCTTTCTTACTTTATGAAATGTCCTGTTCTTGAATTTAGAGTTATTTAGAAGACAACATAACTTTTTAAAATTAAAATATTATCTTTTAAAGCCTTGAATATTTGGCAGGTATTTTTAGTCACTTATTCCAGTGATTTCTTTTTTTTTTTTAATTTTATTTTTATTTATTTTAGAGAAAGAGAGGGCAAGCAGAGGAAGAGGGGGAGGGAGAGAATCTCAAGCAGACTCCCCGCTGAGCATGGAGCCTGATATGGGGCTCAATCCCAGGACCCTGAGATCACGACGTGAGCTGAAATCAAGAGTCGGACGCTTAACTGACTGAGCCACCCAGGCACCCCATTTCCCGGATTTCTAAAACTGGAATATCCATTCAATCATTCAACAAACATTGACAATGTAATGTGTGCCAGAACTCTATTAGGCACTGGAGACCTAGCAGACATGGGGAGTGTTGTAATAATTCTTACAAGATCTTACCAGCACACCTAAAGCCAAGTATTAATAAGTACACTGTAAAAGTAATTTTTTTTAGCCCACATGATGTGCCACATTACAAAGGCAAATTCTTAATGAGGATAGATAAGAGGAAGATGCACAGCTCTCATTGGTTTAGAATCAGGGGGGATGAGGTTTTAGAATTGAAAGAGAATTTCCATGACATTTATTTTGCAGCTGAGAAAACTGTTAATAACTGACATGGCCTAGAGTCTAGGCACTATAATTCATTTTACTCTTGTGAGACAGGAAAGTACTTCTTATCAAAGAAGCTCCTCACCACAGCCTGTGAGTTTAAAAGAGATGCGAATTACCCGTTCTTTACCAGAAACATTTTCTAAGTGTGACTTCACCATAATAAAATGCTATTTAGAGCCAAACCTACATTTAGTTTCACTACAGGTTAAAAATACCCTGACATTTGAAAGTTCTCAAATACAAACTAATTTTCAATTATAATTTGGAGAAAGATAACAAAAAACAAGTATATTCTTGCTTCTGGCTCCCTACAGCCCTTGGCCCATCCTCATGTCCTCTCTCCTCCTGTGATATTACAGTTTATCTGTCCCAGTTTCTATCTCTCTCACTAACCTCCTTAAGGGCTTATTCATCTTGGTATCCCTAGAACATAACAGTCACAGTGCCAGCAACATAGTAGGAGCTCAATACTTGCTTGCCAACTGCATGAACGCTTTTAAAATCAGTTTTGACAGATGGCATATTAACAAGCAAACATGTACAGAGACCACCATGTGTATGTGTGAGGCTCTGTGAGGTACGATGCCTTCGGCCTGCCAACAGACCAACTGGAAAGACATTATTTTTACATTTTTTCAGTCATTAAAAGGTGCTAAATAACAGTTTAAGATAAGGGTAGGCAGATTTTAGCCAGCCTGCCAAATCCAGCCCACCCACCATTTGTATTTTTTATAACCTGAGAGCTAGAAATGGTTTTTACAGTTTTAAATGGTTACATTTTAAATGGCTATATAATTACCTACATTATATCCTTAATACTGCCTTTTGACCCACAAAACCTAAAATATTTACCCTCTGACACACTAAGAAAAAGTTTGCCAACCCCTGGTTTAGGACAATAGAAGATTCATAGAGCAAAATGAGATTAATCATTAAACTGTCTGGTAAATATAGTATTCTTGCATGACTAGAGAAACTAGGGAAAGCTTTTAAGAAGGAGAATGTGAGCTGGGTGATACCAAAATCAAAATTAAAAAAAAAAAAGAAAAAAAAGGTAGTTCAGAGAAGGTATTATACACTTAGTTTTCAAAAGGGGTTAGAATTTGGATGGGCAAAGAGGAAGAATAAAAGGTCACGTGTAGTTAATTTGTTATCAGATGCCAATAGAACAAATCAGTCTCATGACACAAAATGGTTAGTCAACAAAATGCCACAGAATCAAATTACTTTAAGAAATTACAAATAAATGTCCAAAAGTTAATCAAGTTTTAAATATATTACTAACCCCAATATAATCAATATCCAAATCATGATAATGCTTGGCGCCCACAATCCAGGTCATGACATAATAGGCAGTCAGCTGAAGATTCACATAAGGCCAGTTGAAACCTTTTCCCAGCCACCCAGGGAACGACCACGGCAAGCCTGCAGAAAGGAAAAGGTAAAGGTGGGTGGGTATACCCATGCTGACACTGTTAGAAACAAGGCAAAAGAAACCAAGAAGAACACAGGCTAAGCAAAAAGCCAATACAGATCTTCCTAAAGATTATATACTGTGCACAAATTCTCAAAATCCCTTCCAGTTTATGAACTCAGCAACTACTTACTGATCCCTAGAATCAGCTTCCATAATTCCAAATGCTCTTTCAAGAAAAAGAAATAAAAACACTCTTTCAAAGATCCTAACCAACAGAAAGAAATGTAACATACAATTTAACTTAACATGCCCACCACCTGCTATAGGGATATTTAATATTCAATTTCTTTCCTCTGAAGTCAAATCAAAGAATTCTGAAAGGCTTATGCCTAATCATTCCTACAGGTTAAGTATAATACAAATTCCTCATTCACTAGTACAACTTCTTAAAACTTAAGGTTCCTTAAAATACTAATTAGTCAGATAATCAAATTCAGCAAAACTAGTTTGTCATCATATCAGTATAAATGCCAATGACTCAAGAGGAAAATATTTCTTTGTGGTATGATTTAGATCAAATAACCCACATCCTGCCAGCACCTTAATTACTGTTTTCAAGTAAGAAAATGAGAATAGTAGAGAAGCACTAATTACAATTCTAAATCCTAATTCTGTTATTAATATATCAAAATAAGCTCAACAGTTAAGTTCCTCAACTGTTAATATATATCACCAATCTAGTTCACCACTGAAAAAAATCAAAATGAACAAAAGAACAAAATGTTTATTTTTCTAAGCTCAGGAGGAATGCCTCATTGTGTATCCCATAAGAAATGTGACATTAAAATACTGGAACATTTTAGAACAATGAAATCCCAAATACATTCTAAAGGCCCAGCATGTGTAAGTCTTTGTTAGAACATGGTTCAGCGTGCCAGATTTTCTACATTTAAATGAGAACTGACCTTGAAAGCAGCCCAATGGGTGAGTATGCGCTGAAGTCAATGATGCTTTTTTTTTTTTTTACTGCTCCAAACATTTCTGGAATCTCTTGCAAAAGACCATTTTGAAAGAACATACTAACTCCTCATTTTTTTAATTTAGATAAAATTACGCTTGTCCTTTAATTTGATTGTTGAAAATGACTTTTAAAATAACCTGAAATCAAGCCTATAAAATGGATCTCACTGGTCTCACACAGACTGGATGTGGAAGCCTGTTTCAAAATATCAAATTCATCTCAAATGATGACTGCCATCACTGGGTATGTTTGCAATATCTTACAGGTCTCTGCATCGCTATATGAGAACTGTAAAATGAATACAGTAGTCCTATTTGAGAAATCCAATGATCCTGCTACTAGAACGTAAGCTCCACAAGGGTGGGAAGCGGGGGCTGGATTGCTCAGTATCTCCAATGCCTAGAACAGTGACCACCACGTTGCTGAGGTTCAAAACAAACTTTTATGTGTACCTCTTTTAGAAATGGGGTCTACTACTGCATGTAATGCATAATTTTACAAATAGTTGGTATATACTACTGCACCTAATATATAATTTTCTAGAGAGTATTGCCCTTTTACAAATTTTGGTAAGAAATTTTGTTGAAGATAAGAGTTTAGCAATCACAAAAACAACCAGAATGGAATTAGGTTCTATACCTGATTTTACCATTTACTAATTACCTGGCCTTAAGTCAGTGGCATAACCTAAGTCTCTACTGCTTCTGTAAAATGGGAAGAGTAATGCCTCACTCCAGAAGTATTACATATAAAGAGCACAAATAATATCTAAGGGCAAAGAAAGAATCAAGCCTGGCACATGCTTTGCTGCTAGTAGGATAATGGTAGTATTAACATTATTAGTACTTCAGTATTAATAGTGACTCCACATACAGAATTCAGAATTTGAAAGTTAAACAGACTGCAAAAGCATGGCAAACTTCACTTCTTACCCATGAGTATAATATTAGGGTTCCGCTTCTTAGCTTCCTTCATTAACCACCACTCATATCCTCGGAAATAATTCTCATCTAACGCATAGTGCATGTGGGAGGGCTCGGTACCATCTGCGTGGGAGAGAGCAAAAGAGAAAGGAAACCACTTCATGGTGTTTAATGGTGTTTCATAGGGCCACTCTCCCCTATACATACACACATTTCAGAGAAGACATTTTCTGGTTCCAATCCTGATGTGGGACAAATAAGAATGATCTTATAAAACTTGAGGATGGATGATCAAAGCATATTATTTCATGTTTTTTCATTACTTTAAGTATCATAAAGGTCTTGAAAAACAAAACCACATCTTTCTATTATAAGCAGCGTTGAGAGAAGTGTTATCAATTCACGTAATTGAAAAGTCCTAGGACTACATTCTCCCAGGCTTTGGTCTGGTCTTTCTGGGGTTTTCAAATCCCCACATTCAACACATGAGTTCAGATCACCTCAACTTCTGGCTTCTCAATCCTAGATGTGAATCTCCGGGCTCCTAAGCCCCATTCTCATACCCCAGGCCTTGAGCCTATAACATGCCCTGTTACACCAAGACAACAGTGCTTTGAGAGAAAAAAGGAAAGAGTATACATCTGCATACCGCTCTATAAGAAAATTCTATCCTAACCTCCATGGTGTGACAAGGTAGGTAGCTGATATCAGTCCTCATATGTTACCACATTTCACAAACATCTGCCCATGTTAAGAAGGGCCTCACAAGGAGAGGGGTCTTGCCCTTTTCTTCTTAAACATCAGATTCACAAGAACTACCCACTCCTGTATCTCTACCTCTAATTTCACTTCAGCAAATGTAGATGGCCAACCATTACCAATCCTGCATAAGAGGAGTGGACAATAAAATATATGTCCTATTATGGTAGCTTGGAGGAAGTCTGTGTTACAGAGGTTTCTTTTGTTTTTGATTTTCATTCTTTTTTCTTTCAATATTAATTAAACACTAATATGACCACACAGACATATCTCTTTAACAAAAATTACTCCCAAGTCACCAACAGGAACACGCGTATACAGACAATATTATAAAGTTCACTATGATGGAATCTGGCCTGTAAGTAATAAGCTGCATTATCACTGAGAGAATTTCCTTCTTCCTGTACATTAACTGACTACATGGACTACACAAAGCCAATCAAAAGGGTGATAATGAAGATTGAAAATTTAATGGTTAAAAATAATTTCGTTTTTAAAAGAGAAAAAAGCTGTACCTCTAAAATACTGATGACTTATGTTTGCCACATGATTTTATTTACAGCTATTAACATTATAACATTTTACATGTTTTCCACATTAAGAGTTTTTTTTTGAACTCCTCAATAAAAATTTCAAACTGTCTCTATCCTCCCAGTGAATATAGTTTTTTTAAAAACTGTGGTTTGTTTACTACTGATTAATCCAACTATATAAGCAATCTAAAGTCCAAATGCTATTTTTATGAGAAAAAATGAGTATTTTGATATATTTTTAATAGAATAAAAAAGGAACAATAAGAAATAATCTATAAGCAATAATCAACATCAAAAATGTTCGTATCATTTATATTCTGATTTACAGCCCCTAAGTTTAAGTATAGACTAAAACGTTGAAGGAAATCAATCCCATGTCCCAAATCTCCTACCTGTTGTCTGCCCATCACCACCTATTTCGACTTTTAGAATATGCAAAGAGGCACCGAAGTTTGGCTGGGGAAGGAAGTAGGAGTATTAACACCGTGATTCACTGCATGAAGGGCAAAGCACATTAAGACAATTACAGATGAGAAAACCAATTTCAAGTAAATAGCAACTTATTCCAAAAGCAATTTGCCATTCTTTTTTAAAGCTAAAATTGTGAAGGCGATCAATTCTACCGCTAAAATTCACCATAGCTTCAAAAATACCACAGATGCCATTAAGTAATTATTTTCTCATTACCTTAAAGAGATAATCCAATATTTGAGAACGATAGGGCTCTGGATAATTTACTAGAAGTCGGGAGGTTGCCTAAAAAAAAAAAGTTCAAAAGTATGAATAAATCAAATCCAATCATGAATATGTTTTCATAGTGCTGATGCACGCCACCCGGCAGGCCCATGTGGAAAAGTCATTTCCCAGGTTATTTGTTTACCTGCCTATATTTTACCCATCTTTGGGCAAATAGGGCTGTTGTTTATCCAATAGCTAAAACTCAGGTTTTAAGCCACAGCAGTTTTCTCTTCTACTGAGATGAGGGTTGGCTGGGAGGTAAGCTAACAAAGTCTATTGATGAACACCATGATTACAGACTTGTCTTGGGGACCTTAACTCAGAAAGTGGTTATTAGAAGAAATGAAACTTATGTTCTCTATCTTAAGACCATTTGTCAACTACAACATTGGGGGGCCAGGATGGAAAGGATAAATATCAGGTAATTTTCTCCTTCAACATCTTGCATGAAATTATTACAAGCAGCAATGCTGAAAGGAATAACTACTCCCCCCCTTCTTTACTAGAGATTTATAAGTGCTGTTACTATTAGGAATGACCATACAATGATCCCCAGGCCAAACTGTACTAAGGAAACCTCACACAAGACTGGCATCAGAATGCATGGAAAGAGAGAGGTGGAGGGTGCAGAGACCAAAACTTGATCACAACTAACCCATGGCCGATGACTGCTTCAACAAAGAAATCACAAAACCAACAGTGGACCAATAATGTATCTTCTGGGGAGCAATATACACAAGGGGAATAAAAGAAATAGGTTTTAACATGAAACAGTGGCATGCCCCTAGGCTTGGAAGCCAGACAGGCCTTAGGTTCAAAAAACTGACACCAAGGGCAAGATACCTGACTTTTATGGGGCTCAGTGTTCCGTTTCATACTCTCATTTATGCTTCCACTGACATTCTAGTGGCACCCTTATATCTATCTCCCTCACACCCACAATCTTCCGAGCCCCTGCCACTGAGACACAGACCCATGGAGCTACCCTCTCATCCCTTCAAGTTCAACACATCACCAATCAAACGTGGCACTTTTTCCTAAGTCTGTTCTTTCTCCTTTACTTATCTTAGTAAAGGACAACATCTGCCTAAACCATAAATTTAGGGTTACCCTTTCACCAATTCCCATCCATCTTTAGTCACCAAGACCTCCTTAGTATCTCTCAAACCCATCCCCTCACTTCAACCCTACCTCCTTCATCCAGGCCCCCCTCAATCGTTAGAATAGCCTAAATGGTCTCAGGGCCTCCCGTCTGCCTCCCTATATTCTATTCTCCACACTACTTGCCACATTAATCTTCCCAAAACACAACCATGAAAGTACTCTGTTTAAACCTGCCAAGACCTCCCCTCTGCCAAGAGCTTTCAGGATAAAGTTCAAATTGCTCAGTTTTATACCCAAATTTCTTTAACTATTTGGATCCTAACTCTGACACTTTACCCAGTACCACTCTCGCGCCTTCTATCTTGATATATCTAACTACTTTTTCTCTTTCTTCTGTCTGGAATGCATTCCACGCCCTCATTTGGCCAACTTCAATGCATCCTCTTCAGGGAAGGACCTCTTCCTCTCCGCCCACTGGTTTGATGTAGGTAGTAGTAGTTTGATGTAGTCCTGTGGACTCCTCTGGCTTCGGGTCTACATCTCTACTGTAACTCTTCTAACCCTGCACCCTCCTCATTGCCATACTTCTCTGACTCACCTCTGAGTTCCTTGAGGACAGGGACTATGTCTTACTCAAGTTCATGTCCCCATCTATTCTCTTATTTAGTAAACATTTAATATCTTTTATGGTATTGTTTGTTCCACCGGCAAAGGCAACATAATACAGGACGCTTTGAGTCAGAAGGAGCCTACATCCCGATTGCAACATTTACAAGCTATGTGACCAAGGACAATCTGCTGTAAAGCAGGCCATCTTACTCCTTAGAACTCCTTCAGCTGTTCTAAGGCTGAAATAAGATGTATGTAAAGGACATAGCGCAGTAGCTGGCACACAGTAAGCTCTCAATAAATGACAGGCATTATACAAATTGTTTTTAAAAACACAGTCACTGTTTTCAAAGAGCTTACAGACTGGCGGAGGCTCAAATATTAAAGTAGGCACTCCTTAAGTGAATGAACCCTGTATATACACAATAACCCATCCTTGATCAAAGGGGAACAATTCTTTTGACCCTGAATTATGTCATTAGAACAGTGCGTTTGGCTGTTTGGGGGTTATTTTGTGTCTATGCAATCCTATCCTTAACACAGAAAGTGCCAACTTTAAGCAAATACACCACATCACCATGCTATTGCAAGCCTATGTCATTCTTAGTACAAAAGCATTAGTCAATGGCAATAGTTCAGAGTAGTATAGCCAAATGTTGAAATGCACCATCAAGGAATAACAAATTACAGTCACATTCCCTGGAAAAGGCCTGGGGCTGTTTCCAACCAGCCCAGGAAGAAGCCTTAGCACAAGAGGAGACACACAGTAAGTTATCAATAAATGGCAGATATTTTATACCCAAATACATTTTTCATGCAACGTCCTCCTTCCTAATCAATGAAACAGGATGATATTAACCAAAATAATCATGTGCCAGATGCCACCCTGAGCACTTTACATCTATCCTCATGATGCTCCCACCAGGTTTCAAGGTCTCCCCAGAAAGGAAACTGAGACACTGGGAGGTTAAGTAACCTGTCCGTGGCTGGACAGTGAATGACAGGGCCCAGAATGGACCCCTGACAATCTGCTCTTAAACGCACATTCTTAACTACTGCCCCATACTGCCTTCCCTATCAGACTGGAAGACCAAGTGAGAACTGCTATAAACTGTGCCACGTACCAGGACCCCACATAGAAATCTAAAGTGATGGGCAAAGGTAGTGTTGCAACCATTTTCCTTCGATTAATATTAAGCTTCTAAGATGAGACACGCACTATACACAGGGACACTATCATATAGATAAGAGTATCCTACTCTGAGTATTGCAATATTCTCATTTTAATACTCTTAAACTGAGTTAATAAATATAAATAACGAAGACTTCCATTTTTCAGTAAGTTCAAATACTGGATTTAATGCCACAAGTAAAGATACTAGGACAGATGGGTCCTCATTTCATGAAATACTGGCTATTGTAGGTTTAAACCACAAAAATGAAAAGAAGAATGACTGTAGTAAAAAACACACACATTGACCCATTAGTCCAGGTGACTCTAAAATATGCTCCAGCACCTATGAGGAAGGTTGCAACATCAGAAAATAAAAACATAAAAATCAAGAAGAATAAGTTGGGTTAAGGAAAAGGTTTGTCTGTCCCCACTCCAACACCCCCCTACCCCCCACCCCACACACACACACACAAAGTTGGAGAGATCAGCTAAAGACCAGGTCATCCATTCTAGTGTAAGCCACAATGATTGGGTTTTTTCTTTTTGTAATGCAAATATCTGACTTAAGCTTTGATTGCCAAGGCATCCACTTTTCAACAACAATTATGTTTTATGGTATGTGTACTTAAAACGTTACCCAAATCTTTTTGGTAACTTGAAATCTTAGAGTTTTGCCAAGTTCAATGATGGAAATTCATTAAATATATAGATCATTGCTAAACATTAAATATTGAAACATTACTGAACCACAGGTTTATCTACTTTTGGTTTCCTGTAACAGAGAAGCTAGATGTCTGGATCTGTTGGTAAACATGTCCTGTGCTATACTGAAAAACTTACTATGCACGTATTGCATGGAGCACTGGGTGTTATACACAAACAATTAATCATGGAACACTACATCAAAAGCTAATGATGTAATTATGGTGATTAACATAACATAATAAAAATTAATTAATTAATTAATTTAAAGAGGCATATGCCTCTAGAAATTATGAAATGTATTCATAAATTTGTCAATATACAGAATGCTAGTAAAGAGCTCACAACTGCTTACTCACTAGTTTTCACTAGAAATTAAGGTTTCTAAGAGTCAAGAATTCTAACAATATATGTAATTAAAAGTACAAGAAATAAGAGAAACAACCTAGGCAAGGGAATTAGGATATAGTTTAGCTATGGTATAAGGTATGGATATGCATTTTTGTTAAGGCAAATGAAAGTAATTTTGTCCTAAAGTAGACAAACTAAATGGATATAGAAAGTAGGAGAAGGAAAGAAAAAAAGAGAGGGAGAATTTTATCTTGTGTAGACAAGCTGGCTAAAAATGAAGTAATTTATTGTATTTTTTAAATAAATAGTGTACTTCTGAAAACTAAAGCTTATTTTTATTTTATCTGCTAAAAGGATAGTTTTCTTGGATTACTGGTCTGTTCTTGATAAGACTGTGCAAGGTTTTTATTTACCTTTTAAGTAATCTGCCTAGGAAATAAAGATTCTGTATTTTACCAAAATAGTTTCCAGTATCTCAAGTTGTCTTTTATCATGTCTTTGATTACTTAAGAAAACAAGTCCTCTCTATTTAAAGAGCTAAAGTTCTTTTTTTTTTTTTAATAAACTATGTAGCTTTCTGTATTTGCCTATGAAGTCTTTAGCTGTAATTTTGGTGGAAGTTTTTTAAATGGATAACTAGTATTTCAGAGCAATCTATGATCCAGTGTAATCAAGGGTTTCAAAATCTTTTGATATTTCTGACAAATTTCCCAGAATCAAATTCTAAATGAAGCCTTTTTTTTTTTTTAAAGATTTTATTTATTTATTTGACAGAGAGAGAGAGAGCACAGGTAGGCAGAACAGCAGGCAGAGGGAGAGGGAGAAGCAGATTCCTCGCTGAGCAAGGAGCCCGATGTGGGGCTCGATCCAGGGCCCTGGGATCATGACCTGAACCCAAGGCAGACGCTTAACGACTGAGCCACCCAGGCGCCCCTAAATGAAGCCTTTTTAAACCTTGAACTAACTTTGGGATTTTCCATGGGGTCCCTGGAACATCTCAAATGATTTGTTCCTTCTTCTTATTAAAAGAGATGTTAAACTAATTAGGCTTATTTGATATGTTAAACTACATGGAAAGCATTATCAAATAAGTAATGAGAAACCCTCTTTAGATTAAATTTGTATGGATATGTGTGACTGATATAAATGTTCCAGAAATCATATGAAATTCCTAGACATCTGCTATGTCCTGATATGATGCTGTCACTTATAATTCTAGTTATTATCGTAGAATGTTATATGTCACAGAAATAACCAAAGTTCCTTGCCAACTGCATTGTAATGAACTCCCATAGGTATTTAACGTGGCTATTTTTAAGCCTTTAAGTGTTCCCAGCAGCCTTACCAGGTGAATAATGGAGACCACTTATTGTGAGGCCCAAAAATATCAGGATATTCGGGGGACCTTGAGAAGAGAGGCATTCACTCAAATCTACAGGTATTATAGGTGAAGTATGAAGGCAAGTCCTTGGCTTGACTGCCCAGCCCTGAGAGACTTTTAGAGTCCAATCTGAGATTCCTTATGAAAAAAAATCCAGCAAAGCACACTTAGAAAAGCCTGGGTGGCTCAGTCGTTAAGCGTCTACCTTCAGCTCAGGTCATGATCCAGGGTCCTGTGATCAAGCCCCACATCGGGTTCCCTGCTCCGCAGGAAGCCTGCTTCTCCCTCTCCCACTCCCTCTGCTTGTGTTCCCTCTCTCACTATTTCTCTCTCTGTCAAATAAATAAATAAAATCTTTAAAAAAAAAAAAGAAAGAAAGAAAAGCCTATTTGATCAGACCTACTTCATGAGATGGCCAAAGATGTTTATTTCACAATATTACCCAAATCTTTGAACACATTCCTGAGTCCTAGGATCACTGACCTGGTTTCATGTCCCTTTAAGCTTGGGACAATGGCTACGGACTAGATTGCAGACTACTGTCTGTATAATTATTATAGAAGTGCTATATAGTCCTACTTAGATGTGTACTTTCTGGGTTACAACATGCCCTATCCCTGACTTTTAACCTATCAGGTATCCAGGGTCACCACTGACTAATGCCTCTGCATCAAGGTGGACTGTAGTATAAACCCTGACAGTTTTTTTTCTTTTTTGTAATGCAAGTGCCTGAGGGTATCCTCTTCAAAGAGGCATCCACTTCAAAGATGGCTGTTTCAAAGAATCACACTGCCGATCTAAATAAAGAGCCAGGCTCCCCCAGCTGGGACCCCAGCCTTCTTTGTTTTAAAGACCTTGGTTGATTTCAGTAACTGACCACAGAGGCTGCTTGATTTTTCTCTTCCTGCCTTTAAACTCCCCCTCTTACGTTTTATTTTTTTTTTTTTTTAAAGATTTTATTTATTTATTTGACAAAGACAGAGACAGCGAGAGCAAGAACACAAACAGGGGGAGTGGGAGAGGGAGAAGCAGGCTTCCCGCCGAGCAGGGAGCCCGATGTGGGACTCGATCCCAGGACCCTGGGATCATGACCTGAGCCGAAGGCAGTCGCTTAACCAACTGAGCCACCCAGGCGCCCCCCCTCTTAAGTTTTAAATTCACCAATGAGTGAGCCCGCAATAAAAGCAGGACAGAACACTCAAGTTCCAGTGCTCTCTCTCTCTCTCTCTCTTCCCCTCTCCTCCCCCCGGCCCCCACAACCTTACTGTGTGGTCCCAAGTGTGCCATGTGCTTGCCAGGATCTGTGAATAATAAACCTTTTTTTTTAAGTTTCTTGATCGTTATTGCTGAGAACATCTTACAATCATAATAAGAACCCTAAGGGCCAGTCCAGCCACAACACCAGCTATCAGTAGGCTGAGATCAGCACAAAACATCCATTCAGCAAGCAAGCAGTCAAGCTAGTTCTGAAATGCATCTGAATATACAAGCTCCATCTGACTCAACCCAACAAACAACCCATTTAAGAGTTAGGCCTTAACATCAAATAAAATTAACTCTAGTTGATTTGGGGTAAAATGGAAGGGAATAACACAAAGACAGGAAAAAGGTTACAGAGGGCATGTGATAGAAGCAAGTAAATTTTGTTAGAGCCAAAAAGAATCATGCTACTAAACCAAGCTCCCAGGCCTAGAGGCCACATGACAGCATGACCAGGAAATTCAGACAATTACCAGCTGTGCCCATACAATTTTACACAAAGCTGGAATGGCCCTCTTGTCTCCCTTCACGTAAATCTTAAGGAATGTCCAGGAAAATGAACTCATTCATCCCAACTGTCACAGCCAAGAGAGGACTAAGGCATGCCAGTTAAATGCAGTTAGTATTCTGGATGGGATCCTGGAACAGAAAATGGGCATTAGGTAACTACTAAGGAAATATGAAGTATGGATTTTCATAAGTTATCAATACTGATCGTGACAAATGTACCATACCAATGCAGGATGCTGATAACAGAAAAATGGGTGCAGGGTGTATGAGAACTCTGTATTCTCTTGGAAACTCTTCTGTATATCTAAAACTATTCTAAAATTAAGTTTACTTAAAAGAAAAAGGTCTCTCACTACTCAGTATGAGAATCAATTGGTGTACTTGGTAAAATGCAGATTCTCAGGCCCCAATCCAGAACTACAGTCAGAATGGGGAGTGCATTTAAACAAGCATACCAGGTGATTCTTACACACCCTAAAGGTGGCGAACCACCTTGGATGTTGATCCAATGTTTTCCCCTCCCTGTACACAAAAATAGCCACCAAAGAGTCACAGAGGCACTGACCTTTCCGGTGGGCAACTCACCCCACCTTGGGCCTTGATGACTCCCAAGAAACACAGCCCCCCAACAGTAAACAACCTAGACTACCAGTTAATACTAGCATAGCCTGCCATTAAAAACAAACAACTAAAAAAAAAACAAAAACAGACCCAGCCTGACCTCTTACCTTCCTACAGAGGCTTTGAGGCACCTGTCGCGCCTCCAAACAAAACGTATTGCGCACTGGCCCCTCTGAAGTTAGCCAATCGCACCCTACACTTGTGGTCCAGGGCTTCCGACTCCCCGACCCTCAGTGGGGCAGCCCTTTGGGAGGAGAGATGCTCCCCGGCTCCCTGACCATTTCTGGAACGACCCTCAGGAATGCCCTCTCTGCGGCAAAGCGAGCCCAGGCTCCGTCGCCCGGGATGAGAGTACGAGCCCCAGCCTTGTCACTATCTACACCTGTCACTTATTCGGTGGACCTCCGCATCCTCCTCTTTTAAAACTAATTGCCTCTATATGTTCATCTAAACGAGCAAGAGCCGCTTCCAACCCTGTAGGAGCACAGACCCCTGGCCCAGAAGCGCCCGCCGCGAGCGGAGTCGGGACCGGCGAGTGTCGACACGCGGGGCTGCGTCGCGGGGGCTTGTGGGGCGCCCCCCTGGCCACGCCCGCGCATCCTACCGCCTGCTGCTCACCCCGCCGCCGCTGACCGCGCCGATGCCATCGAACTCCCGGCCCAGCCCGTCGGAGTCGTCCAGCACGTACGCGCCGCCGGGCACCAGCAGCGCGCACAGCAGTAGGGGCACCGCGGTGCGGCCCGCCGAACCTGCGGCGGCCGTCATGGCTTTCACTCGGCGTTGCCGGGAAGCCTGGAGTAGGCGCTCGGCCATTGTGTGGGTCACATGATTCCCGCGCCCAGGGAGGCGGGTCCGGCCGCCGCCATGATGGGGAAGGGCAGAAGGCCGCTGACGCCGAAGCCGCCATCTTGAGTGCGGGCCACAGGTCGCCTACGCAGCCGCAGTAGTGTTGTGGAGTAGCCGAGCGAGCCTTTTCTGGTTGTGACCTTGTTGGGGTGGGGCCTTCAAGTGTACTCAGTTCCCTGCTTCTCTTCCGGCCTCATCTGCTGGAGCACGTTAACGCAGGGGATGTCCAAGACCGCCTAGGGAACTCACCGTCTGAGAGCGCATGTACCACGTGCGGTCTGTGGCAAAGCAAGAAAAAATACCCAACTCGCAGCCCCTAACTAGGTCCCAGTTCAGGTGTGGCCCTGGTTGAGTCACTTAGTTTTCTGAGCCTGAGTTTCCTTTTGTGTACGACGAAACAAGAGCAGCCACAAAGTTACTAATAAAGTCTGATAGTAGTCTGTTGTCTCTGGAAAATGGCTCTACTTTTAGAAATCTGAATCCAGCACTCAAATTCAAGGGCAGAGGCCAAGTCTTTATCCTCTTTGTACTTCCTAAATGCAGTGTCCAAACCACAGTAGGTACTCAATATGTATTAGTTGAATTGAACTTAAAAAAAGAAAAAAATCACTGTGAAAATGGTGCCTCAAATTACTGGGTAAGTATGGAACTTTCAAAACATACGGAGACATCTGGATAAGTATGTGGGGAACATGTGATTAAATGAAATACAGGGTAATAGGCCCTCAGTAAATATGAGCTGAATGCGTTACACACTTGGCAAACGTTAGCTGTCAAGGTTCTCCATTCTGGTAACCACTATAGGTATTTAGCTTTCAGCTTCATCAATTACCCTACGTTGCCGGTTGACGTGGTTCCAGGCAGATAACCCTAAATTGGTAGGGAAGTTGTGTCATGGGATTTTGCCACGTTCAGCGTCAATCTGAGATTTCTGATTTTCTTGGTATCAGAGAAAATTGAAGAGACTGTGTAGCTGCTGAGAAAGCATTTCTGATCCCATAATCTCCCTTTGTAGACCCATGGAATTGGTTTTCAGTGTCTTCACAAGCCCTGGAGACCCCAAAATGTCAAAGAGAAGACCCAAAGGCTATAGGACACACAAGTCTTTATCTTCAGGGCCCTATTTGGAGTCAGATTGTTTTGCCCCATAACTACAAACCTAGACTTAAGTTTCAGGATCACAATTATACTAGGAAGAAAAGTATCTGTGCAGTCCCAAAAACGAAGTTGTCAGGCCCTTCTACTATCCCTTCGTTCTTAATGAACAATAGCTATGCTTGCTTTTTCTCCTCTTAAATTACTGTAGATCTATTTTGGTTTACAAGAACAGTCCCAGCTTATGTCTATTGTTCTAGTATAATTATTAATACTGCCCCTTTCACCCTCAAAAGTGTTCTGGCTTGGATGATAAGTTATATCCCTACAAATGGGCCACTTTTTCTTCCATTTCTTCTTTTTCCAGTACAGCACATGTCTGAACTCTACCTTCTTTACCACCACCATTCTATGATACAAGTCAGGAACTATGCAGGTTCCATAGATTTACCTTCCCAGAACTCACTCTGATCTATCCGTTCTAATACAATATTTTAAGCTAGAATTTGAGTGCCAGTGGATGCAAGCCATAGATGATAAATCAAAGGAATGCTAAGCTCCCTACCAATTCTGAGATTTTGTATCTGTGATGTGTATATAACATAGGTGTAATAATGCAACTAGAAGGGAAGTACCAGGGTGAAAATAGAAGAAAATTACCATACACAAATTAATTGAGAAGTTGAAACCAGTGCCCAGCATACATCATCCTGTAACACACCATTACACCAGTATTTGAAAGGCACACCACAAATATTTGTATACTTTGTGATCTCTGTAGAAGAGGAAACACAGAGTATTTAACAGAAAAAGTGTTCTCATCCCTAGAACATATCACTAGTTCTTATTAGTTCATATACCAAAGTAATTCCTTACACAGAAAATATCTCGTTTCAAATTTCTAATCTCTGTTCAGTAAACCATTAGAAAAGAAGTTTCTAATAAAAAGGCAATTAAATATAAGGAGGAAGAGAGATCCATGGATGGCTGGACAGAGGAGTCAGATTTGCTCAAGAGGTGAGATCAATCAAAATAGCAGTTATCAGACAAGTAATCACGTGTTCAGCTTCCCTTGCTCCTGTGGTTTGGGGCATGAGCTAAACAAGAAAATGAGTGCCTCTCAGTTCTCAAATTTCAGATGAGTTTTGAAAGTAAAGACTGTCTTTGTCTTAAAGGAACAGTGTTTTGGAGTAACAACTGCACTTCAGCCACCACAAATTTCTCATTTTTCCAAAGTGAGAAGTGTGATTAAAATCAGATGGTCTCTTGAGAAAGATGAGAGATCTTGCCTTTTAATGAAAAGTTACTAATAAAGTCTGATAGTAGTCTGTTGTCTCTGGAAAATGGCTCTACTTTTAGAAATCTGAATCCA